TAACTTCATTTTATAGACTTTTTATTTATGCATTAATTTTTTGCTTTTATTGAACTTGCTTGTTACCCCCAGATCACCATTCATTTTTATTAGAAAAGAGCAGCATGAACTTTTTGATAAATCTCCTTTTCTGTTCCAAACAAGACAGTGATATGGGTTTGAAACAACATGACATTAAGTAAAAATGATTACTTTATAATCAGTAGGTATACTTTATTATAATTCTAAATGATTAGAATTTTCCATTTTTGGACAAGATTTTGGAGGTCTTGATTTTCCAGGCAGCAAACAGCACTTCCCAACACTCACCTGGATGTTTACTATAGACTTAGAGAAAGCTGTACCCTAAATTCAAAGACCACAATAAATACTTTCCTGAAATAGCATTTTCAAGTGACATTATGCGAGGCTCTGTACACCTCATTTGTGTTTCCTCTCAATCATAATTATTAGACAGGAGATAATTAACATGTGCTAAGTGTTAAAATATGTCAACATTATAAAAAGACAAAGTTTTTGTCAATTATTATTTTCTACTTTTGCCATTTAAAAATTCTACTTCATTATTTCTACAACATAACTCATTATGAGTTTAATGAGAATGACTCTAATGACTTATTTTTTGTTTTTTTAACATCGAGTGCATCTCTTTTCTAGTAGCTCAGGAACCCATTATTATTTTTCCATTTCATCTAAATTACTGGAAATTAAACACTCATTTCATGAACCATTATTCTTGTACTTTGTTACAATAAAAGCAAGTTTATAAAGAGAAAATAAGGCAATACTTAATGAATACCTGATCCTCACAAAAAAAATAACTGCATTACTTAGTAAAAGCACTTTTTTCAATGCTGACTCACTTTTCTAGTCTGATCAAAACATAATCACTTTTTGGTATGGACCCAAAGGAGAACCTGTAATTAAATTAACCATCAGCGCCCCCCTATGGTGAGCAGCAGACTGTAAAAAGGATGTAGGATTTAGAGAAAAAAAAGAAACAAAATGAATCAAAATAGAACAGTTTCATTGCTATTTTGTCATCACATTTACTAAACAATATCTTTGACATTTTTATGCAATCATCCTATTTTTAAGCGCTACAATTTACAGTATGTTGATGTTTACATGTAAACAAAAAGGCAATAGGACAAAAAGTGTCACTAATGCAGATACAGTAGTGGGTTATTGGCTTGATTTGAAGGATTTTGAATATCATACATTATATTAATCATAACACCGGTGTAGCCTCCGTTTCTCCGTCTGCAGTAACCAGCTGCATCAGAGTACCTGAAGGAGGTCTGTTCTCTCCTGTAGTCCACTTATAGAACAGCCTAGAATACAGGAAACAGATCATGCTTTAGTTCACACACACTACATACTAAAGATGCTCCCAAACACGCATACTTACTCTGATATGTACTCCAGCGGTGTCCAGGAACTGACATCACCATCCGGCATGAACTTTCTATTCATGGGTGTATCCAAAGTCACTCTAAAAGTAGTAATTATTAGTTGTCTTTAAAAACAAAAAGATTTGCACGGATGAAAATGAGTTACTATATCGTCATTCCTTACGGAAGTATTGCTACTGCAGCAGATCCCGGAGGAAGACCACTATTTGGTGCGCTCAGACTCTGACACAACTGATGAACCGCTGCCTTTGCCATGCCATAACCAATGCATCCTACAATGAGAATGAGAAAGAACACACACACACACACACACACACACACTTTATATTAAAGCTGCTCTAAATGTCCAGCAGTAAATATAAGCATGCATACCTGCTGTTGGACCCAGTGCTGCTTTAGCCCCTGCCAGTGTGAGCAGCCCCCCCTCTCTCAGGTGTTTGGTTGCTAGGTGACTGCAAATCGTGGCGGTCCACACACTCTGCTTCCACATCAGATCAGCATTCTTATACAGAGCTGAGGTGCACAGAATACATTCATACAAAATATAAACTAATATAATGACGTAATTGAAAATATTCACTTTTTGGACAGAATTAGACTTTGGAGATAGCGCCCCCTTTTCATGACAAAAAAATTTTTCTTGCATAGCTAGAATGTGAATGTGTTTGTGTAAAATATGTATTTTGCCTTTAGATTAAAAATGTGACAATGTTCTGGAGTCAAGATTTAGTGTGTCATAGATCAGTGGTTTTCGACCAGGGAGCTTCAGCAAACTTCCAAAGGACTGTGGAATGATTTAAAGGGATAGTTCATCCAAAAATGAAAATTACCCCATGATTTACTCATCCTCAAGCCATCCTAGTTGTATATGACTTTATTCTGTCAGACGAATACAATCAGAGTTATATTTAAAAATGTCCTGGCTCTTCCAAGTTTTATAATGGCAGTGAATGGCTGTTGAGATTTTGAAGTAGGGCTGCACGATAAATCGCATGCGATATTTAACGCGCATCTTATCAGTAAAGCCGGTTCTGTAAGCCTAAAAAAGTGTATCCATCCATCATAAAAAGTTCTCCACACAGCTCCGTGGGGTGAATAAAGGCCTTCTGAAGCGAATTGTTGCGTTTGTGTAAGAAAAATAACTCTTTTTAAAACTTTAAATGTAAATGATGGGGTAATTTTCATTTCTGGGTGAACTACCCCTTTAAAATTATGTAAATGTATATGTTATGTATATATTAATATAATTAATTTTAATATTAAGCAAAATCATTAACATAAATGTTAACATACATACAATCACTATTCATCTTTTTATTCAATTTTTAATATTTTTTTTAGATTTATTTTATTGAATAACAGTTCTTTAAACTTCTGGAAGCACATATACTGTATGCACAGTATATTCTCTATTATATAGATGGCCTTCAAATATTGTGTTTGACAGTAGGAAGTCTTTGAGTCAAAAAGCTTGTGAACCATTTTCATGGGTTATGCGTGGCATGTACTAACTTTTGGCCTTGGCGCTGCCTCCTGCCCAACCTCCAGCCACACACAAGATTGCATCAACCTTATCTGCACCTAACAGCTCACCGACATCAGCTGTCACCTAAATAAAAAAGAAAGACAGAGATGTAACATGCTTGCAGACAACACATAAAACTAAGAATCAAGGGCGTGTAGATATCTGAATAGTGACAGACCAAAAATTCTGACAATATTTGGCAATTTCATAAAGATGGCATCTGCCCATTTCCAGTTTAAAAATAAATGCAATTGGACAATTAAAAGAAATAGTGTAAGTTACGCATACTTTATTAGCTTCACTCATAAAAAGTCATTTTTTAACAGCGTACCTGGTTGGCTTGCTCAGTGAAGGATTCAGTCATCTTAACTGTAACATTGGCATTGGCTTCTTCATTGGCATTGAGATCTATAGAGGCGACCCACTGTAAATGACAAAACACACAGTTGAAATTTAATGATCCACCTTATTTACACACTGTATGACAGGCCACAAGAAATGCATATTTAAGAATAAACGCATGACACTGGTAACTGTGACAAATGAATAAATAATTAACAACATTATCACTAAAACACATGTCTGATGGCACACTAAAGAGCAATTTATTTTCAATGACATGAGCGGTCTTTTGGGTTGAGACAACTTACCCAGTTTTTAGCTCTGAAGTACTGCACACATGCAGATCCCAGAGCCCCTTTTCCTCCGTAAACAAGCACTTTATGGGCTTCTGTAGCTGCCATGCTATTTCTGCCTTCAGATGCGCACGAGGTCGTTCGTGTTATGCAAGGAAATCAGCACGTGCGCCTCCTACTGGTAAAGAGGAGAGAAGCAATCCAAATTTTACAAGTGTTGGTTGTTCAAGCATTTTAAAATGTTTGTATGAACAGTTAAAACAATTCATATTTTTCCAGTTTAATGTTTGCAAATATTTTATCAAGACCAGTAAATGTAAAATCCGTACAGCGCCACATATGTAATACTCTTTTTGACCAGCAGGCCGCGCAGGACATCTTTGCAAATCACTATTAAAAACAACGTAAAAGAAGAACGCCGCTCTTCCGCAGGAAGTACATGTAGTTTTTTTGTTTTTGGAAGTACATGTAGTTGTGAAGCATCGCTAGCATTCTGTGACAAGCTTCTCATTTGGCTTTAGCACTAACTTGACAGCATATGGTCGTTCAAAATCATATTTAAGCTTTAGCTGAGCTGTTTCTCTCAGAGAGAGAAGGCTGTGAGATTTTCAGGTAACGCTCAGAACTATTACTTCAGTAAATTATGGATGTGTTTCTGCATGTTTTATGTTTCTGCCTCATTTGTGGTTATTGTGATTTTGTTGTTTATATTAAAGGTCTTTTGTTAGATATTTAATATCCACTCGGCGTTGACTGTAAATACGTGATTTATCCATATCTATGTTAGATATGGATAAACTTCAATCTGGCCTCAAATATCTCTAACGTTACTAGCATTAGATTGTCTCTCATCTAAAGATGAGAGATGAAAGTAATAGTTACACAGTCCACAGATATGTACATGTAGTTTTTTTGTTTTTGGAAGTACATGTAGTTGTGAAGCATCGCTAGCATTCTGTGACAAGCTTCTCATTTGGCTTTAGCACTAACTTGACAGCATATGGTCGTTCAAAATCATATTTAAGCTTTAGCTGAGCTGTTTCTCTCAGAGAGAGAAGGCTGTGAGATTTTCAGGTAACGCTCAGAACTATTACTTCAGTAAATTATGGATGTGTTTCTGCATGTTTTATGTTTCTGCCTCATTTGTGGTTATTGTGATTTTGTTGTTTATATTAAAGGTCTTTTGTTAGATATTTAATATCCACTCGGCGTTGACTGTAAATACGTGATTTATCCATATCTATGTTAGATATGGATAAACTTCAATCTGGCCTCAAATATCTCTAACGTTACTAGCATTAGATTGTCTCTCATCTAAAGATGAGAGATGAAAGTAATAGTTACACAGTCCACAGATATTCACCACTATGTGTATGTAAGTTATATAACACATTCCTTTACAAACCTAATAAGTGTTTGTTTTTTAATAAATTAGTTGGGCCAGATATCGAATGAAAAGCAGCCAGCGTATCTATCGCATGAGAACTGGCTGATTATGATTATGGCTTTACTGTTATTCGTAATATTATTGGTAAAATAAATAAATGCGTCCAAACCTTTGACTAATAGGGTATATCATCTCGGCAGATGTTGTGGTTATATTTTCAGCTGATAGTTTAGTGTAAAGTGCACTGATTTATGGTTATATTTTGTCATCATTTTTGTCAATCGTTGCACTGATTCATAGTTTTGGCTTGCACCAACCTGCTATAGCATTTATGTAGTAATGTTGAGCCCTGGTGTAATTGCTAGCATTAGCCTATTTATAATGTCATTGATGAAAATAAGTTCATTTATATACATGTATAAACGCTTTCGAATGCAATGATTAACTGTCTTGTGTGTGTGTGTGTGTATGTGTGTGTGTAGGATGGATAAAGCTCTGCTGAGAGAGCGAGAGCTCTTTAAAGGGGTCATATGATGCTTTTTTAAAGATCATTATTTTGTGTATTTGGTGTAACAGAATATGTTGACATGCTTTAATGTTCAAAAAACACATTATTTTTAAAATACTGTACATTATTGTAGGTCCTCTATGCCCCGCCTCTCTCAAACGCTTCGTTTTCTACAAAGCCCCCTCCTT